TTGAAGTGTTAAAGGTAAGTCCGTTATCGTCTGCCCAAAGTCGAGTCAGATCCCCCTGAAGTGCCTGTATATCGTCTTGGTTGCGTATCTCTCTCCAAAGTTTCACGTCGTCGGCAAAAAGTAATAAGTCTGACGTTACCTGTTGAGGAAGATCATTTATGTAGATCAAGAAGAGAAGAGGCCCTAGTACTGAGCCCTGGGGGACCCCACTAGGACATTCCATAGCCTGAGATAAAGTGAAATTAACCCTAACCTTAAAGTGTCGATTTTTTAGGTATGAAGTAAGCCAATCGATTAGAGGTGGTTTGATACCTAGTCGTTTGAGCTTGTTGATAAGACACAAGTGGTTAACCTTATCAAAAGCTTTTGAGAAATCAAGGTAAATGACATCAACCTTTCCCTTGCGATCGAGGATGCTTGTCCATCTGTCCACCGCAGTCAGCAGGTTGGTTATACAAGAGTAACCCTTCCTGAAACCATGCTGTTGGGGTGAGAAGAAATTTAAGGACAGTAGATAGTCATTTAAACCGTCGCATATCAGGGACTCCATGAGTTTTGAAGGTAATGACAGAAGAGCCACCGGCCGATAACTTGAAGGTTCATTGCGTCGACCACCTTTGAAAATTGGTGTGATGTGAGCCAACTTCCAATTTTCCGGTAATTTGCCTCGGCTAAGCGAGTGTGAAAACATCACGCTAAGCGGCGTTGCCAGGATTGAGGCTGCCTCCCTCAGTATGGCAGGATGAACCATATCCGGGCCAGGAGAAGTGTCAAGTCTTAAGTGCTGCAATTTCCGGAACACCAAGTCAGCGCTTAGGTCCACTTCAGAAAGTCCTGTGGAATTGCAGATGAAACTGTCGTCAGTAAAGTTGATGTCAGCCGGTTGAAATGTTTGAGAGTAATGTGCCGCCAGAAGGTTAGCGGCGTCGCCATCGTTGTTGGTCGGGCCGTTAAGACCTACCAGTTGAGAAACTCCTGTTTTGGCTTGACGAAGAGAGGCTGCATAACGGAATAGGCTTCTAGGGTTAGAGGCGAATTTGTCCATAAGCTTTGTTTGGTACTGAAGCCTGTCTTCTCTTATAGCCTTCGTGCATATGTTCCTGATATGTTTATATTGCCTATACGCTCCATCGTTATTAGTTCGTTTGTATTCCGCCCAACAGTGCCTTTTGCGGCTTAGGAGGCGAAGGGTACGGTTCTTGATTACTGTAGGTGGCTTGCAGCTTTTGGGAACCGTTTGAGGAACTGAATGGTTTGTAGCACATAAGAGCGTGTGCAGTAAGAAGTCCCAATGACCATCCACATCGAGTTGAGGGTGAACATCCCAAACCACCTGTTGTAGATAGTCATGTAGAGCTGGCACATTCAGCCGTTTAAAATTCCAACGCAAATTATTGTTGGGATACCTTAGCTTAGTTTTGATGACAAAACTGAAGGCTATGACGGCATGATCGCTCTTTCCCAGAGGAGCCAGGATTGAGAGGTTGTCGACTAGGAATTCTTCGTTAGTGAATACACAGTCTAAGCGCGATGGTGTCTGACTGTTTCTCCAACGAGTTGCCGACCTCACATTTTCATATAAGCCCAAGTTATCGATGAGGTTGAAGAACCGAGCTTCAATTGAGTTGTCGCCTCCAGTGTACGTGTGTTCCGCGAAGTTGACTCTAGGGAGATTAAAGTCCCCTAGAATCAGGATGTGTGTGAAACCGAGACGGATAGAGCGGGATAGTCCTTCCAGCATACGACTATCGTACTCGATGTCGGCAGTTGGCTTCCTGTAAATGACTCCGACTAGACACCTGGAAGTACTAGACAATCTTACAGAGCACCATATGGATTCCTCAAGATTGTTAAACTCGAGGTTGTGAACTTGGTGCACCTCCAAGCAAGAGCTTATGTATATGGCTACTCCGCCCCCAATTCCTGTTTTTCTGTCGTTGCGGAACAAAGTCATCCCAGGTAATGCTAACTCTTGGTCCGAGAACTGAGAAGATATCCAGGTTTCAGATATTCCTATCAGATGGGCCTTATTAGCGTTGCTAAGTTCACGTAGTTCATCCAGTTTGTTTGGTAGACTCGCGGCGTTCATATATAAGCAGTTTATGCTTTCAATTTGGAACGCGTGAGCTTCGTCCTGTTTTTCTGTATGAACCTTATGTGAATGGACAGGTAGCCCACCTATATGAGGTTTGCCGAGGTGGTAGGCCCTGTCCTTTACACGTTTTTTTATCGTTTAGACAGTCCACAAGTGGAATGGTCAGCTCCAACTTGCCTTTGTTCTTGGTCCTAGCTTCGTATGGCCTATCCGGGTGCATGTGGATTCCAGGTGGCAATCGACGTCTGTTGGCACGAAATGCTTCCAGAACTGCAGCCGCCATGTGGGAAGATGGGAAGGTTATCTTCATTAGACGAGGTCTAGGATCACCGTCCTTCTTGGCTAGTCTCGTCACATGCTGAGTCAGTATGTGTTTGAGCCTCAAGGACTGTTTGATGAATTTCCATTCCCTGATGTCAGAATTTGATTGAGTAGGGTCTGCATTTTCCGGTATACCTTGCACAATTATGTTTCTTCCGCGGAAAAACTTCTCGCGAGATTCTTTAGGGATGTTTCGTATGATATTGCGCTCAGAGTACGGTATGTCGGGCAATATTCTTACGTTACCATCTGATTTCAGCAAGTGACTTGCTAGCAAGACGTCCTCTACGTCGGTAGCATTCTTAAGTGTTACTCGGAGAAGCCTCGGGTGATTTAGATGCTTAGAATCCTTTCCTCGAGTGAGCCGGGTGACCGTCAAAGGCTCTATTCTAGGAAGTTCGAGCTTCTTGTTCAATTCACCCCAGAGCATCCTGTCGTTTTTGTCCTGCAGACTGAGAGGAAGGTCAGGATTGTCAACGAGGTTCATGATAATGAGAGAATCGTCACGAACTGTTGTTAATTTACCAGGTTTCACGATGGGTTCAGGTTTAATAACTTGTTGTTTGGAGGTCGGTGCGCGTTTTTGAGTCTTCGGCTGTTTGTTATTTTCCGTACAGCAACACTTGGGTTGCTCGGCTTAGGCAGTGATGCCTGGTTCTTTTGGGCTCTCTTAACGTGGGTCGAATCGCCTACAGGGTTTTTGGGAACCACTGTTGTGTTCAGGGACCCTAAGCTGGGAGACCCGAGTTTGCTTAAGGAGTCTAGTACCGTCGACGTAATGATGGTGCTGAGTCTCGACACGTCATCATTAGTGTTGACGGATGCACCATCGGCGGTATACCTATCGGCATCCCTGTTTTTGTATCCGTCGCACGCTCTTGTTTGTCTACCGGTTTTTTTACTATCGTTATCCAAGTTAACTGACAACTTGTTCCGAACACCTGTCAGTAGGACAATGATGTTACTCAGCAAGACTACAGCGTCCGTGCTGCACGTGACACACACCCACTTTTGCTCTGACTTGCTGAGTCTGTTGTAAGCAGTTGCTGTCAGATCTGTGCATGCTTCGTGGAACCAACCTTTGCAGTTGTCGCACTGCATGCCAGTTGTAACAGCGAAACGGCATCCCAGACGTTTGCATGAGTTTTTCATGACTGTGTTGAAGCAAACTATGTTATAGATGCTTGCAAAAGCCTAAGACCTTTAAAAAACACTAAAAAGCACACTGAAAACGGACAAAAATAGATAAAACGAGTGATATAAACCGAAACTAGTCTATACGTGAAAAACAAAAAAAAACCGAATAGTAAGCTGAGGCAAAACCACAGGTAACTATTAAATATGGTGAAACTCAAAAAAAAGTAATCTACCGAACGTATAGCTCAGGATAGATTCTTTAGAACTGAAATGGTACTTTTGTTGAGTAAGAACACAGCAAAAGTTTGATATATGCAAATCACGTTAGGAATAAACTTCCCGTTCGAAAAGCGCGCGGTAACCATTTCGCCTTAATCCTTGAGTAAAACAGTGATTCACACGGACTTCGTGTGTATAGAGCTGTCAAGTTATTATTATCCTCATTGCGTTGTTTTCTGGGCCTTACCAAGTTTTAAACAAAGGTAGTTAGGTTCGGTAGAATAACTGCTATCCCAGTTGAAGTTACGAAACAACAATAGAGATAACATGTACACTACAAAACATAGAAAGTTACATTAATGATCTTCGCTATCACTTTGTGATTTTACTGCAGCAAAAGACTACTTAAATATGAGAGCACTTAATATTCGTGCAACTTAACGGATACCCAACAAACCCAAAGTAATTGAAATACAGAATGGCCGCCTCATTTCAAACCGTTCAGGGTCGTTGTGACGAAACAGCGGGTGGCTTTGAGTGAGCCTGACATTCTTGCCGTCCCGACTTTTCAGGCCTCAAGAAGATGAAGTTAACAGATATCCTTTCCATCAGAAAAATTGTCCCGTTTATGCCGTGTGACAGGTGGTTCCGAAGAGACAATTTAATGAAATTCGCTTTCGTAAGATATGCACAACATTTTAGTAATGAGTGAAGTTTTTCAAAGGTCGAACGGCCCGATGTCATAAACTAGGCACTAGCCGTGTTATCAGGGCTTTCCAGTACATGAAAGATGTAAGAGAAGTTCGGAGGAAAGAAATGAAATCGTTGTGGATGGAGCGTCTGGAAATAGCTAGTGAACAGTGTGGTCTACCCAGTGCAAGAGCATTATGTGAAGGCCTAGCCCAGTCGAATATCGCTCTTAATAAAAACATGCTACAAATTTTGTCTATTTACGAGCCTCGTACGTTCTCAGTAAGTCCCGCTCTTTAGTTGTATTTCTCAGGCTTTGGTCGATTTGTCTAAACAATATCATCTTGAAAAGGGAGTATCTGTCCCCAACATGTCTTCGCCTCAAAGAGTTATTACTCAAGGGTTGCTAACTTTGCCTGTTGTCCCGGGAAATAGAAATTTGTATGAATAATTTTGTTTGATAACAGTAAATTAACAAATAAATATCTGACATCATTCTTTTTGTTTTCGACACTTATTTTAGCTGCTCATCATTACCATGAGTTATAATATTTTGTTTCATTTAGTTAAAAGAGTCCTGTTGGGTTTCCAATGTAAACTCGGATTCACATCTTTGTTGGGAGTTTTAGGAAGTAGTTATGCTCAAAAGAATCACTTGATCATCCTGGAAATCAATCGAGGTGAAGGAAATACCATTTGCACTCAGATGAGAGTTTCTCGCGGCAGAAACCCAGCATCAGTTACACGATCCAGCTTCACAACTCTTGACCACATACGTTCAGTTTGGAATCAGTTAAAGTTTGGTTGGTCCATTCAGTTCTGGCCGAATTTCGATCAAAATGCAATAATATATATGCTCGGTCGGTGCTATTTCGCTTCTACTTCTGGTTAGTTAACGCGATTGTTTGCTTGTTATGGTGTTTCCTTATATATCTGTCTGTTGTAAATGTGTCCACATTGTTGTGACTACAAGTATTGGAAATTGACCTGGTAATAACCAGTTCGTAAGAATGTAAACTAACGAATTGTTTCCCGTCAGTAGTTCCGAGTTCTAGATGACCATCTAAATTGCAGAGTATGTTACCTAAAGGCTGAATTTCTTGTAGTGTCTTAGCTATCTCATCACCATATTCGATTATTGTCAATTTCCGTTCCAGTTATTTCATCCTAGCTTACAATCCATCATACAATTTTTTCTCCTAGTGTTGGAAAGTATTTCAAGTTAAACCGTAAACTAAATTGGTCAATAGGAAATCTTATGTTTTAGATGACATATATTTGTTTTCCTTATTTGTAAGCTATGTAACATTGGTGTCTCTGAGCAAATACCAAATGCTGAAGGGAACTAAGCTTGTGGTGTTTGTGTTATAACGATAAAATCATATGTTCCTTCTGTCACATGGGGGTGGAGGTGATTAGACAGTTAATAAAAGTAATACAACTCAACTATGAGCACTTTTGTGTACTGAACATGAGCTACACCAGTTATGCAATGACTTGTAATAAAATATAGCTACTCACTTCATTACCAAATAATCGGAAATACAACTACAGTTTACGTTCATTCTCTGAAAATAATTTTTTAAGTAATCAAATTAAAAAATTTTGGAAAGATTCTTTTAGCCTTCATCACGGTAGGTAGTGCCCACAGATCTAATTATCTTACAGTAGTCAGTAAATAGGGCAGTGTCATTCTATTCTGTTTGTCATTTCAGATGGGCTGACACCCTAAAATTTATGACCATATTGGCGTTGATGTTAGGTCAAAAACTTTAATGACTGATGAAGCAATGTCTGTATGGGTTTGTTGAGTTTTATTGAAATGAAAAACCGGCGTAGATTAGACAATCATTGAAAACTTGGAAGCCCTGGACGGCCGTTTCGTCCTTGTATGTAACTCTTCAGCTGTGGGCACCCACATCTTCACACCCGATACAATTACATGCTGACTATATGGGGTGAATATTCAATATTGCTCCTAGGAGACTCAGAACTTTAAAGGATAACTTTATTGCCTATTTCCAGCAAATCTCATCACAAGTGTTCCGTATCGTTGTATTTCCGAATAAGTTATCGGTTAGACTTTAGAAATGTAACTACGAAAGGTCCTTGTTCATTCGCTAACATCTACACCAAGTTGCGAGTGACGTTGGTTATATGATGAATATTGCATGTCAATGATTTATTAATTAAAGTCCAATTTTGATTTTTCTACCTCCATATTTCTTTATATCTAAAGTTTTCGTAACTAAAATTCAGAAATTTCGCTGTGTATCTAAATTTAAACCTAACAGATATTTTTGTATGTAATCTAAAAAGTTGTGGTAGTTTTATTTACATGAGCAAAATAAATTTTTTTAGCTAATTTTATTTGCGTTTTTCATACTTCAGACAATTCCCCAACTATCCCGAGAGATATAATTTTGGATGGAAATTTTTCAGATTTTGCTTCAGACTTTGCAAGTAGATTATGGTTTACTTATCGTGATAACTTCCCCCATTATTAAGAAGTCCTTCTAGTACCTCTACCAATAATATGCCGTATTCACTATCTACTGAAAGACCAGCTTCGTGTGACTGTGAAAGTATCCAAGCTAAAGTTGACCTATTTAAAACTCAATCAAGTATGTCCCACTTATTTTAATATGTATACACAGAAAACTTATCAATTTACAGCAAAAGTAGTCATTCTATCCCACCATCTACAGACCATGTTGGGCCAAAATCCTCGAATATCCCGAATCCATATATTCCTCTATCTGTTCAGACATCAGATTGTGGATGGGGATGCATGTTTCGATGTGGACAAATGTTGCTTGCTCAAGCTCTGGTAGTTCATTTTTAGGCAGAAATTGGAGGCTAACAAAAAATCAAAGGTTTGTTCATAATATCTTTTAGCAGTACACATTAAACCTCACTGATGATTTTCAAAAACCTATAAAGCTTACTCACCTGTCTTATTTACGTTATTAACATATTGGTAGTATTCATGAGTGTACCGGACATTTGTTTTATGAACGTGTTGGTGGCATAGCGAACAGCGACTAAAACCATAAAGTTAGTGAGCCTTCTCTTCATTGTATTCACTTCCTACCAAAGTAGTGTTACTGATACTTGAAGAATCTTATTCATTTTATGGTGTCACTTCTTTTGTATACAAGTGTATTACTTTGTCGGTATAAAAGGAAGTTTTAATGGGATGTATTCTTTTATATCAGCAGTAATTTCCGTTCAAAATAAATTCCCTACGGTGAGACAGAAGTGTAAAGTAATAAAATATCTTCCCAAAAAGACTTTTAACATATTAAGTTGCATAAATATATAACTGACTTTCGATCAACATGGATTATTTTCGTATATATGTTCATTCCAAATTCCTTACAGTCAGTCAGTCATTAACAACGTAAAACTTCGTACGTACTTGCATCAGTTAGAGTTGCCACACCACATTAGCGTAGAGATGCAGTTGTCGATTCAAATCCCGTGATGGTAGAGGTAGTAAGAGTATAAGCAATAATCGAAAAGATTAGGGTTTGAAGATGTTATTCGAGGAGTATAATCCAGTTAAATAAATTTGGAAAGAGGAAAAAGGGACACGAAGAACTCAGAAGACTAAAATTTGAGAGAACACAAGAGTGTATGCACCTGCACCATTGCAAACGATTTTGAGCCATGTCATTCAATTCCTTACAAATTGTCCGGCAAATTAAATATTGGTTCACACTATACTACTTGTCAAAGCCCTACTGTTATATTATGTTTGTTTCCTCCGACAAATGGCTAAACTTTAGTCTACCATCAAATACCAAGATTAAAATACAGGAGAATATAAATTCCCCATAAAACTAATGACACTAACCACCAGCATGTCAATGGATTTGGGAGAAAAAATTACGACTACGGTAACATGAAGAATTAATCGTGCGCTTCTACAGGTATTGACACCAAAGTTGAATTCATTGTTCTCTGTTCTTGTTCTGTTAAAAAATTTAAAAAAGTCTTTGTTCATTCCTGTCTATTTTTTTACTTTTTGAGTCACGTTGTGAGTTGGCGGATATAAATTTTTTCCTTAGAGGTAACAACACATTAAAACATGACCTTTCTTGTAGGTCTAAAAACAGTTGACCAATAAATGCTATTTTGACTTAACCACTTGGATAAGTAGAGGTGTACTGATGAAACATTTGTTGCTTGTCACTGTCTCAATAAAATTCGTTGATCAGAAGTATAAAATACAGTTGTTGTTATGTTTTACATAGTAGAATTTTAGCATGAGCAGAATAATAGCTATACTAACTATTGTTCTTTAACCTGGTGAAAAAAAAGTATTTCCAGGCCACTAACTTTTCTAAAACCTATTAAATAGTTTCAGAATGAAATCTTCATGCACCACTTTATCTGCATAAAGAACCAAACAGGTTTTAGACTCAGTTGAAAACGTATTGCTTAATTATTCATGCTTTACCGTCCAGTCAATTACCAAAGTCTTTCACCAAACCTAATATTTACATCAAAAGTTTATGTAGAATTACCATTTGAGTTAACAACAGCCAGTAGAACAAAGCTAACCTTGTTCACTGTCTGTCTATTTTTGCTTTTTGCGCGATTTTGCTTGAAGTACTAGAGACTGTAGCGTTCTGCTTTTTATTGCCCAAAAGTATTCTCTACACCGAGACTAATTTATATATAGTTCAGCAACTACATGAAGTCTTTTAAACATTGTGCTTAAATACCTGAGAATATGTGACACTACATTCATTCTATGTACTATACCTCCGAAGTTAATTTTCATCGGTGCTCAACTTAAAAGTAAAATAACTAGTAATTGAAAGTTCTACTTAACTTTCAATTCAGTTTCTTATGTCGATTTTGTGTTGTGAATTGTGACAAAATGAAATAATTCAGTAAAGTTTAAAGTTTCATCTTCCTATCATATACTGCTTATATTCATTTTAATCATTCTAATTGCATGTTATTAATGAACTTCTACATTGATGCTATGGTAATTTTGATTATGCTTACACAGATAATCATAAAATTAACGAAATGTGCTTACAATGATATTATTTTCAGTATAACCTACTTATAATTACTTATTATTTTATAGTTTTCGGTTCGCATATTTTCAGGGATTCGGATTTCAGCCTTCAAATTATCAAATGGTTCAATGATTCTTGGTCACCGTTTTCTCCGTTATCTTTGCATCGTTTAGTTCAAATGAGTGATAGGAAACCAGGAGAATGGTGCGGGCCAGCTTCAGTTTGCTCGGCAATCTTACGTGTAATGGCAAAAGGAAGTTCTTTGGACAGCCGCTTAAGCCAAGTACAGGTGTATTTAGCTCGCGACAGAGTTATATATCGTGAGGTAGTCACAAATTATTTGATGTCTTTTGAGTATTTCTGTTATATTATGTATATTCGAAATAGACATGAATTGAGATTATTTTATGAGATTGGCAATAAAGGGTCAACTTAATTGGAATAGATACCCATACTCAAAGCTGAAGATCTCTGTAATCTTGCTGAGTCAAGGGTTTGGTTTCTACTAACCATATCTTACCTAAACTACCAAGAGGCGTTTTTTACTATACAATGTATCTACCACGACAGGTTATTCATTTACGTAGAGTTAATCAAAGTTGTTCTAGATCCCCAAAAGTGTCAACTGATTTGTCTAAATGGCAATTCTGTGATGTAATCATTTTGTTGTTACAATAAGATGTATAATATTGAAAAACAGTAACTTTTCACATCTTTTCTATTATGAATTTGTCTTTGTTAGCTCTCAGATAATTTGTAAGAGTCACTGTCCTAACTACCTTTGCTCCTTCGTTTGGACTAGTTAAAGTGTTCCACAAAGTTTCAGTAAAAGTTCCATTAGTTTATCAAATGATCATATTCTAATATCATTTTGATCCCTTTCAAGCAATTATGTTGGAATTAAATGTAGATCTAAGATCTGATTATTTGATGTAATCGCTATTTAATTTAAATGGCTTGATAAGAATTCATTCCTTAGGAGAAGACAAATTATGTACATAATATAAGATTTTTCGACCTATCTTTTGTTATTTATCTCAGTAGTCCGTCAGATACTAAAAATTATGAGTGCAAAACTAAACGTGTAACAAAGTACTGTTCCTGTAAATTAATAATCCACTTAGATATTCTCGAGTTAACAGTTAGTATAAAAACGTTTTCATTACCAATTTGATTACTACTTAAATTTTGAAAGAACTAAACATCTACTTTGTTTTAACCGGAGATTCTTCAAAATTGCAAATTTGTCCTATATTGGAATCAAGATATAGTGTTTTAAGGCAACCACATTACCTTTAGATGCACTGAACCAGAATCTGTTGATCCATAAATCCGACTTTACCAAATCTGTTACTAAGATTAATGTATTGAATACTGTTAAATAAAAACCCAAAAGTTCTTGTCAATATAGTTCGTCGTTTTCGCAGTATGATTTTATTATCAGTAAGTAATCGTTTCTATCAAAAATCTTTGTCGTCACCTAAAGTTGACTAATTCTGTTATATCATCAACCATCGCGAAAAAAGACCACGCTTTCTTTTAAATGAAATTACCGTCTTTTTATTTTCTTATACCAAGGAAATTATGGATCTTGCAAGAGGTTCACACAGCTTTATATCGTTCACAATCTGGTCAGACTAATGGTACGTACTAACTGTAAATTTGACTTTTTTTGTACATATGTCTATATATTAAAAGTTTTGGTTTTATTCGTAAATCATTTTTCAGTATATAAGATTATAAAAATTAGTGAATCGGCGGATAAACGGTTAATTGTTAATTAAATCTCAAGTTTATCAATCTTAAGTAACATATAACCTCGCACAAATGTTCATCCACCCACTTTACTTCATTTCATATCAGGGCAACAAAAAAGGTCAGTATGGGAGGTTTGTGAAGATTATTGGATGTTGCTGATACGACGAACCGACCGGAATTAGACGTCTGTTGAAAAGCAGAAAGCATTAGATAGTTGTTTCTCCCTAGTATGAGCCGCTCGCCAATGTGTATACACTATATCACTGGACACTGAACCTAGGACCTCCAATGTCTCAACAAACGCTTTACATAAAACCACTGAACTGCCGTCTAATGGTGTACAGGTCTAATTTCACTCAATTCCCGATAGTGAATAGCCATCTTCGATTGTCTTTAGTAGGTTACTGCCGCACATCCGAACTTCACTTGTCACAAATTCTCTTTATAATCCCAGGATTATCTCGAAACTAACCACTAGTAAGAACGTGGTGTTCATAAGTACGGGGGTTTTGCGGAGATTACTAAATGTTATTAATAATGAGAATGGAAGGTGCTTGTGTAATATCTCTATTTAACGGAACTTAGAGATGCATATTATTGGATGCTGACTCAGTGATCTAGTTGTTAAACGTTCACCACGAGACCTAAGGCTCTGATTTGATCCTCATTGTATTTATTTATTATTTATTTGAACACATAAATACTGGTACAAGAGGGCACCAAATACATATGCACCACAAAACAATGAGAATTTGAAGAGAGGAAGGGAAAAAAAGTAAGGAGCGTAAAAAAAAGCAATCACGTACAGATTAGTGTAAGGTAGTGTAATAATAATCGGGGAAACGAAAAGGTACAATCAGAAGAAATCTTTCAGGTAAGGGAGACACAACCACTTTTTATGAAGAAAGTAAAAGAAGGTTACAGCAGGATCGCCACTGGCTTCTATTCTGAGCCATATCTGATAACGTCTCTAGCCACTGTGTAGCACCATCTCTCAGACCCCAACCAGGGAGTCGTGAAGGACCAACACAAGCCAGTCCTTTGCAGCTTTCTTTCATGCCACGACACCATGTCATGCACTGACCACCTCTCCGCTTCTTCCAACCAGTCCCAGAGTCGGCAAATAATGCACGACGTGGAATTCTCTGGAACGACATTCGGAGAACATGTCCAAGCCACCGAAGTCGGTGTTTCAAGATGGTGACACCAATTGAATTATCATCTCTGTGCCCGAACACACGATGCCGAACCTCTGCATTACTGACATGGTGTTGCCACTGAATGTCAGCAATCCTTCGGAGACAGCGATGATCGAACACAGAGAGTCGTCTAACGTCCTCAACTCGGAGAGGCCAGGTTTCACAAGCATAGAGCAAAACTGCTCTCACCGACGCGTTGTAGATCCGACCTTTTACAGCCAGACTAACATCACGAAGGCGCCAAAGGTGGCCCAGATTGGCATAAGCCGCTCTGGCTTTCACTTTGCGTGCATTGATCTCATCACTCACGCCCCACCAGCACTTATGCAGCTACCCAGATACACGAACTTCTCGACTACGTCTATCTGCTCACCATCCAGGGTGAGTACAGGATTGGAATCCTGCCAGTCTTGTAGAAGTACTTTGCACTTCGAAGGTGCAAAGCACATACCATACCTACGGACACTGATTGCCAACTGATTAAGTGCGGATTGCATGCCTTGGGCATTATCGCACAGTAAGACAATATCGTCCGCATACTCAAGGTCGAGAAGTCTTTCTCCAGGCAACAGATCCACACCACCATTACTTACATTCATCAGAGCTGTTTCCAGAATGTCATCGATGGCAAAGTTGAAGAGGAATGGTGAGATTGGGCAACCCTGCCTAACCCCACTGCTCGAATGGAACAATGGAGAGAGGTGGTTGTATGCCCTCACTCTGCCTGAGGTGTTTTTATATAGGGCTTTTAGGATGTTAATAAACTTCTCAGGCACACCCTTCTTCAATAGACAATCCCAGAGAACAGTCCTGTCCAACGAATCGAAGGCAGCCCTGATGTCAAGAAACACTACGATTGTTGGCCTTTGATAAGTATGGCGGTGTTCTAACATTTGGCGGAGGGTGAAGATATGATCAATACATCCTCGACCAGAACGAAACCCAGCCTGCTCCTCGCGAGTCAATCTTTCTCGGGTTTTGAACAACCTACGAAGTATGACGGAAGCCAATAGCTTGGACGCAATCGGAAGTAGACTTATCCCCCGATAGTTGTTGTATAGGTGACGTGAACCCTTTTTAAAGATAGGGACAACTATCGACTCATTCCATGACGTTGGTACACTCTCTAGTTCCCAAACCTTTGTAAACAACGTCGTCAATTCCTTAACCAAAAGGTCACCACCATCTTTAAAAAGAGCCGGAGGTAAGTCATCTGGGCCAGATGATTTGTAACGCTTCAAGAGTTGGAGTTCCTTGCGGACTTCCGCCTCACTTGGTGGATCAGTCGTCACCGGCCATGGAGGGCAGGACAGTCTGACCGATGTTGCCGGAGCAGCAGGCCAGTTGAACTGCCCTTCGAAGAATTCTGCCCATCGTCCAAGACGTCGATGGATGTTAGTGATTGGCATCCCATCATCCTCGCAGATTGTTTCACTCACACCAGACTTCTTGCTGCCAGTGGCTCGGATGAGCTGGAAGAGCTTCCGGTAGTTACCAGATGCAGCTGCTGCTTCCAGCTCATTAGCACGCATCGACCACCAGGCTTCTCGGTCCTTACGCAAGCTTTGCCCGATTTCCTTACGTAACATCCTTCGTTTACGGTCAAATTCACGGCCACCCGGAGTAGACCGACGAGCGTCGATGAGTTGTAAGGAGCCTGAAGGAACCCAGTGCTTATAAGCGAGACGTTTCGCGAACCCACAAGTGACTTTACTCGCCATTTCCATGGCGTCATGCAATTGCAACAAATTCGGCTTTATCTAACGTTCTCGAGTCACTGCCTGGTTGAAAATTGTATGCTGTTTTTCTGAAACCACGTGCACCATTCAAACTGGCTGTCTTCAACGTTCGCACACTTATGTAGGTTGGTCAACAGATAGGGCTGGCTATGTCTTTAGAAAGTCTTAATATTGATGTTTGCTGTCCATCCGAGACCCGTATTCAAGACTCTGGCGAAGTACTACAAATTCGATCTCCATCCGTCTCTTCGAAAAGCTTGTTTTACGTGCGCTTATCCGGGGACCCTGTGGCATCTTTGTCTGGTCTTGCTGGCGTTGGTGTCGCACTAAGTGCTAGAGCTGAGGCACCACTAGTCGATTGGATTCCCATTAACAGTCGGTTATGTGCTGTTAGATTAGAGAGTTCCATCAGAGTGAGAAGAAATCGGCGTGAGAAACGATGTCTTTTCGTCATCTCCGCCTATGCCCCGACAGATTGCAGCCCAGATGCAATCAAGGGTGAATCCTACCACCAGTTATCAGTTCTTCTCCAGAAAGTGAGTTCGACAGATATTGTAGTACTAGCCGGAGACTTGAATGCTCAGGTCGGGTGTCTGGGCACAGAAGAGAGTCGTTTAGGTGACCAATGGGAACTTTTTGGTCGCAAGACAGATAACGGAGACTGTCTACTGCAACTGTGCACAGACCACAACCTGTTTCTGGCTAGCAATAACTTCCGGCATAGTCATCGCCGATGTGCCACCTGGCGTCCTCCCTCTGCATCTCAAGCCTGGACTCAGATTGATCACATCGCGATCAGCTACCGCTGGCGTGGTTGTGTACAAGACTGCCGCTCCTTTTGGAGTACCTATCGGGACTCTGGTCATGCCTTGGTGACCGCCACCAAAAGATTGATGTCAGCAAGTTGGTTGCAACTTCTGTTGCTAGTAAGTATCGAACCGAGCTAGCCTCTAGGCTAGCTACCATTCCACCGAAAAGTATAGATGAGCATTGGTCGTAATTGCATGACGTCATGAAAATGGCGAGTAAAGTCACTTGTGGGTTCGCGAAACGTCTCGCTTATAAGCACTGGGTTCCTTCAGGCTCCTTACAACTCATCGACGCTCGTCGGTCTACTCCGGGTGGCCGTGAATTTGACCATAAACGAAGGATGTTACGTAAGGAAATCGGGCAAAGCTTGCGTAAGGACCGAGAAGCCTGGTGGTCGATGCGTGCTAATGAGCTGGAAGCAGCAGCTGCATCTGGTAACTACCGGAATCTCTTCCAGCTCATCCGAGCCACTGGCAGCAAGAAGTCTGGTGTGAGTGAAACAATCTGCGTGGATGATGGGATGCCAATCACCAACATCCATCGACGTCTTGGACGATGGGCAGAATTCTTCGAAGGGCAGTTCAACTGAGCTGCTGCTCCGGCAACATCGGTCAGATTGTCCTGCCCTCCATGGCCGGTGACGCGACTGATCCACCAAGTGAGGCGGAAGTCCGCAAGGAACTCCGGCTCTTGAAGCGCTACAAACCATCGGGTCCAGATGACTTACCTCCGGCTCTTTTTAAAGATGGTGGCGACCTTCTGGTTAAAGAACTGACTGCGTTATTTACAAAGGTTTGGGAACTAGAGAGTGTACCAACGTCATGGAATGAGTCGATAGTTGTCCCTATCTTTGAAAAGGGTTCACGTCACCTATACAATAACTATCGACGGTCAAGTCTACTTCCGATTGCGTCCAAGCTATTGGCCTCCGTTATTCGTCGTAGATTGTTCAAAAACCGAGAAAGATTGACTCGCGAGGAGCAGGCTGGGTTTCGTTCCTGTCGAGCATGTATTGATCATATCTTCACCCTCCGCCAAATGTTAGAATACCATCAAACTTACCACAGGTCAACGATCGTAGTGTTTCTTGACATTAGGGCTGCCTCCGATTCGTTGGTGTTTTTTTAGCGAGTTAGT